GGTAGATGTAACCAATATGAAATCAGAGGTATTACCAGAATTGTTGGAATCTCTTATCTTAATTTAAAAATTTTAGTTTCATCTTGTACACAATTTAGCCCCATCCATTCCAACACCATTCTGTAAACCTATGCGGCGATATAGTAATATTATGTACGAATCAAATCCTTGGGATTATACCATAGTCCGCTTCCTCTGCCAGGATTTTGATAGAACCCAGGCATTCTTTATTCGTTTAGACCCTTCTTACCAACCCCTTACGACCTTACCCTGGAATCATAATTAGCTGATTGTTGTCGTTTCAGAGTAAGTTCCGACACCGAGTACTCAGATGTGAGACCGATACATACACGCGTCTCAAAAGAGAGCATTCATGCTTATACATATAGTTACATTGCTGTATTTCCAGCACATTCCCTCATCGTCGTCTATTCAGATGACACTGCAAATCTCTCTTCTAATCTACATCCTATCCAAGCTCTAAAATCCAAGAATACTTGGAGTTTATCAAAAAATGGTGCAAAAAATGGAGGACAGTACTGACTGAAGTACTAGTGTACATTCTATTGAAAAAACAGTCTTGTCTTCAACTGCACATCGATTTCCTATACATCTCAACGCCGTCTTTAATGGTATATAATATTTAAAGTAAGGTATTGGTTGAGATAATAAAGTCAGTGTCACAGGCGGGATTCGAACCCACGACCTTCGGCTAAATACGCCGCTGCTCTACCACTTGAGCTATCACCAACTTCCCATCTCAACCCCACCTTTTGAATTTTCCTCCTTTTTGCCATTTTTCAAGTGTCGTGTAATTTATTTGATTCTCGGCGACAAATGAAATGGCCACAGAGAGCTTTAGTGAAGTATACTTAATTTTGCTTATTAAAACCATTAGGTTTCGTGTTCCGATTGACCGAATAAATTCTTTTCAATTAATTAAGGTTTTGGTTGAGATAAAAAACTCAGTGTCACGAGCGGGATTCGAACCCACGACCTTCGGCCAAATACGCCGCTACTCTACCACTTGAGCTATAGTGACTTTTTCCCATCGTGACCTAGAGTACATTTATTGAAAAATTTGTCTTGTCCTCCACTGCAAATCAACAGCGAGGGGATACCGACATCCACTCACGTCTGTGACCGTCAAAACTCAACTAACACTACATACTGCGAATACTTTGGGCATACGGAGTGAAACTGTGGGATTACTCGAAGCCATCCAATATCCAGCGTATCCGATCCTTTCAACACCTTTCAATGTCCTCAGACAAATTGCCAAAACTCCTTGCAACTTCAGACCAATACACGCTGGCTCAAAGGTATTATCTACATTAATAATTCGTGGTTTCATCTTGAACAAAGCGCAAATACAACCGGCATGTTTATTTTCTAAGGACCGCTTACTAGTAAGAAGGTTTACACATCTTCCAACTATTGTAAAAGCCCAAATTTGAACACAACCACGGCACAAATTACATTAATTATGCATGTGCTACCAAATTGTCTTTTAACTGGTTCTATATTAATAGGGGGAATTAATTTTAAATAGACGAACTGTTAAGAGCATCTGATCATTGATCAACCGGTTGCTGAAACATGCAAATACACTGATTGTACCAGGCCTCGTAAATTTTGCGCCACCGTTCCCACGCCGCAAATTTAATTCTACCCTCATCATTTCTCTATTTCAAATACTGGTTAACGCAGTTTTAGGAGATTATCATTTCGACCATCACAGCTTCGGCTGCCTACGCGGAAAGTATGATCATTCCGTGCGATGTGTTGGTTTGCTTCCTTTTTTACAAAACAAGAATTCGAAACAAAAATTCTTTGTTTGAAATTCTGTATTTAAAAAACCAAAAAACAAAAACAAACGGCATTTGTTCTCATATTATTAGCCATGGGGGTCGGTCAGAGATGTAGATGTAATTGTCTGACCCCATTGAACGAACCCTCAAAAATGTTCAGCTGTTAAACAACCGTGTAAGCAAATGATAAGTTTTAAATACCAATTGTTTTCTTTTCCAACCGTCCAAACGTTTAAAACCAATATATGTTATAACATGTCAGATACTCTGCTGGGAGAGAATTTTTATTTGATTCACTAATTTCGTGGTCCGCTTGACCAATTAATATATTATAATTATTTAAGTATTTTAGTTGAGATAAAAAAGTCAATGGCACGAGCGGAATTCGAACCCACGACCTTCGGCTTGATACGCCGCTGCTCTACCACTTGAGCTATTGTGAACTCGATTCACTCGGACACCAACTTTCCATCTCAACCTCTCAAAAATGGCAAAAAGGAGGGAAAATTCATAAGGTGGGGTTGAGATGGGAAGTTGGTGTCCGAGTGGATCGAGGTCACGATAGCTCAAGTGGTAGAGCAGCGGGCGTATCAAGCCGAAAGTCGTGGGTTCGAATTCCGCTCGTGCCATTGACTTTTTTATCTCAACTAAAATCCTTAATTAATTATATTTTTATTTGATTTTATTAAAGAACGAAGTCAGACTTGTTAAAAAGATAAAACTGACGATAAACTGAAGTTTAAGGATGATGTTACTTGAAAAAATCGTAATACATTAATAATTGATGCAGAAAAGTGCGTAAATTAATAAAATCCTTTAGACTGTTAGATCGCCTTGGCTTAAAGGGACTGTTGAAGCCGTGATGTCAAAAACAAAAGATCTTTTTTCAGAGCTTTTATTCACAATTTTTCTGACGGCCCGCATCATCTGATGAGTCGGTACATACAGAATTAATCGAATAATATTTCAAAGAGGGGAAACGAGACCTTTTTCGCCCGTGACAAATCTATGTATCATCGCTGTTCGGTTTAACTGAATTAGTCGGTCGGCGGTTAATGTAGTTACTACTGTTGTTAACACCAATTAAATTACTACTCAGCCAGGTTTTGGAACTTAAAGTGTATTGAGACGGGTTTAGTTGTATCAGTCTTAGTTTAATTAATGATCTTGTAAGACGGTACAAGGATCAAGATAAGCTATGATTTGTGATAATTAGGTGTAATTAAGTTAATGCCGGCAACTAATCCGGATTCAGGATGGCTCTCTTTATCATCATATTTGGTTTTATGAGGGATAGAAAACAAAACACCTGCTGGTTGTTTTATACGGGCCAGATTGTTGCATATTCAACCTGCTTCGTTTTCACAACGTATCTTTTAATCAACAGTCATGCATATTGGCTCTTTATTTTTCAAAAAGTATTATTTGTAGCCTGTAAGTCACATTGATACTGGCTAGCACGCTAGGAGGACACTCGTTAAAGATAAACCAGCCAACTGGCTCTCGATAATAGGGATTGAGGGGCAAGGAGGTATCGAGGTCATCATCGTTTAGGCAAGTGGCGGGTTCTCCGGATGGAAAAGTGTAGAGATGGCTTAGATACTAGGGTTCGGGTGAATCGAGAAATACTCTTTGTTTTTTAGAGCGGAGGAAATCATGGCAACGACTGTGACATCTTGCTGGATCGTGGAATGGTGAGGACGGAATATGGCAAGAAGAAATGATTTTATATGAATCACAGGTATTATAAGGACACTTTCGATGATTTTGAACACCACAGGAAGAAGTTTGATGGGTCTATAGGAGAAAATATGGTTAGATGAATTTTGAGTTTTGGGAATAAGAATGAATAGCTACGAAATACTTCCATAAGAGAGGGACGTTGGATGACATTGTATATCGTGGTTAAAAATACTATAACCTTCAAGTGTAGGTAATTCGGTCATATACATGGATTGACCACGTATATGTAGTACTCCACCTCGGAAGGTTGGAAAGGTTTGAGAGGGTGACAGGATGAAAGTGGTATACCAAAAGTGATCTTTTGTGCATGAGGTGCATCAGTTGTATTGTGATGTATTCTGTTTACACTTAAACGATCGGGTCTGTGCAATTATGATTTTATTCAAATGATCCAATTTGAGACGTATGTAAAGATTGTCGAAGGGAACTTTGATATTCTTTCCAATTTGGCACAAATCGTATGACGAATAAAAAAAAAGACCAATCGTATTTAGTTAAACGCAAGAAGTCTATAAAATATACGACAAATCGAAAACAATAATGTACTTGACTTCGACTTGAAAAATGGCAAAAAGGAGGGAAAACTCAAAAGGTGGGGTTGAGATAGGAAGTTGGTGTCAGAGTGGATCGAGGTCACGATAGCTCAAGTGGTAGAGCAGCGGCGTTTCTAGCCGAGGATCGTTGGTTCGAATCCCGCTCATGCCATTGACTTTTTTATCTCAACTAAAAACCTTAATTAATTATAATGTACTTGACGTTTACAAGTTTGTAACATGCAAATATTCCATAATAATTTTATTTAGTTTATTCACGGAAGTTGGCAAGGCATAATGAATATATCAACATCTGAGAGGGGGGGAATCAAACTATAAGACTCAAGAAAAGAATGACACAAACTTAATATTTAACAATTGAGAAAATTATTTGCCTTTGTATGAAATTAGGTAAATAGGGAAATTGGATTATTCCGTTTCGTTTAAAATAAATATTAATCCCGTGAGAGGGAGGTGAGGCCGGATTCAATGTAATTTAATGTATTAATATTATCACGTGTTGAACTGGGAGTAACTTTAATATTTGTACAAGTATGTTTGTTTTAGGTAATGGCACTATGAATTCCACACGTTTGAGCCGGCATTAATGAAACCAGGAGACCGCTGTTTTTTATTTATTTAGAACGCTAGGTACAATAAAATGGATGAATTTTGAAAAGAAAATTGTCTAATATGGCTTTAACGTTTTTACTTCATTGGTGAATTACAAAACTTGATAATGCCCAATCACGGTAAATTGAGGACTGTTAATATTACAAAACAAATACAAACATGTAAATACAATTATATAGTGCCGAACATTAGACTGATCGTTTTTACACATCCACTTTTCATGTAATCTATGAACATAAACACGGGAAAATCTGAAAATTTTAAAATAGAGTCATTTTACCTTTGGCTTTTCGATCTGAGAAAGTTGATCTACGCTATCGGACGAATTTGCATGCAAATTGAACTCACGTTGAAAACTTGATGAAAGCAATGAGGAGACGGGAGACGTGTATTTATACGATTTAAATAGAATAAATGACCCAGTTATAAAGCAAAGGCACAACTTTCAAAGTGATAGCTTCACTTGAAAAATATTCCTGAGTAATAAGTATTTTTATTTTAACCGATTATGATAAGCACATAACGATATGAAAAAAAACACATTTCACATTTATGACCGAAAATGAATCACATATGAGCGTTTTTATTTTGAGCACACGTTTTACTTTAAACCGAAAAATATCTGTTTAAAAGTTTGAAATCTATTTGCCTGACTGAGAGAAGGAAAGCTGACCTACTTGTCGAGTATTTGGCTAAGTCAGACTATCGACTGTTATAAAAAATGACACAACTGATTCAGGTCATTCCAGTCATCAAATTTTTTGAACCGGACGATTCGACCCCCACAGTCCATGGTGTCACAATGACGACATGACTACTATACAGTGTACTGGCTTCCCCCCAAAACAAGCCGATCTTCCCCCTTGATCCGGAGAGTGCAGCTGTTGGCAGCCACGAGACCTTTCTGAATCGGAAATGCATGTCGTATTGTTAAAAACACTATTGTTTGAGTGTTATTAAACTGACTCTCGTGTGGATTAGTCAAAGAGAAAACCAAATGATTTGATAATGTTTTTAAACGTTAATGTTAACTTCACTAATTTCGTGGTCCGCTTGACCAATTGAACATTACAATTAATTAAGGTTTTTAGTTGAGATGAAAAAAAGTTAATGGCACGAGAGGGATTGGAACCCACGACCTTCGGCTTGATACGCCGCTACTCTTCCAATACTCATTTAATGAATTAACTGAAGTACACTTCACTACAGCTCTCCGTCGCCATTTCAATTGTCGTCGAGAATCCAAACCGATTACACGACATTTGAAAAATGGCAAAAGGAGGGAAACTCATAAGGTGGGGTTGAGATGGGGAGTTGATGTCCGAGTGGATCGAGGTCACGATAGCTCAGGTGGTAGAGCAGGGGCGTATCAAGCCGAAGGTCGTGGGTTCGAATCCCTCTTGTGCCATTAACTTTTTTTCATCGCAACTAAAAACCTTAATTAATTGTAATGTTAATGTTAACGTTTTTTAAAAACGTTTCCTGAGGCCCGATTATACTCTCAGACGAAATGAATATTCTTGTAATTTATTGAAAATCAGACATACTGAAACGGTTTTAAGTTTGAAAGATCAAAATAGCAATTAGTATTTGCAAATTTCTACGACACGAGTGGAATTTGAAACATGCCTATTAACTTTAAGCAACTTAAGTCGAGTAATATTAACAAATTTAAACACTAATTAAATTAGTAATTTACTAAGGGTTGTTAGTTCCTCGTGTATTTGTCGTAAATAACACTTGCTTCTCTTTCATAGTTCACAATAAATTGAAAGATATTGGTTTAGTCAGATTTTGTGTTGAGACCTTCTAACCCAACTTTTGACCCGTTGATACTGACTTTCATTACCGTAAATGAACCTATCTATATATACCTGCCTTTGTCAAAAGTTATAATAGCTATAGCCCACATTACAGTATATATTTAATCAATAAATCGTGTTAAATTACAACATGTCTATTTTTTTTTTTTTGTAAACACTAAGGATTTCGTTTCATTTTCTGCTTAATCTTTTCTATTAAAACAAAACCTCAGAGAAGTGGTAAAAGCACAATTTACATAATAAAACACGATTCATCAATAAGTTTAGATCCACTAATACTTGATACTCCGTGATAACTTGAAAGTTCGAAAAACAGGCATGTATACTGAGAAAGAGTCAAAGGTGTAAAACCTATTAAGCAACAAATATATTGCAACACGCCTTTTTTTTTGTACACCGTACCAAAACGTAAAGCAAACGGGCCGACAAACAAACTACAGAACACACAATAAACACAGAACCCCAGCCCCACCCGTTGCAGTCAAAAGGACGCCGACAAATCCCCCGCCCTTTGGTCAGAAATCCAGAAATCAACATGAAAGGGATGGAGGACAAACAGACTCCGTCATTAATGATCTACCAGCCATCGAAATCGGTCTAGTAGTACTGTATGTTGAACTTTCAAGTCTATCTTCATTACCGACTTCATTTTTTTATAAAAATACTAAATAAAGGGGGAGGGAGAGGAGAGAGAGAGAGAGAGAGAGAGGGGAGAGAGAGAGAGAGAGAGAGAGAGAGAGAGAGAGAGAGAGAGAGAAAGAGAGAGAGGAGAGAGAGGAGAGAGTTGGCAGTTTTCGCAGAAACTTCAGCACCAGACAAAATAAACAACGACCGCTTTTTGTTTACGATAATTTCATGCCCACTTGAAATTAATACTACAATATAAACATGATTTCTTGAGGTATTAAAGTGTAAGCCGGCGCAGTAAACAGTTGAAACTAAGGTTGAGACGGAATAAATTTATTTTCATACTTGAAAATTTATATGGAGATAACAAACCACCCAACTGACTCGACACAGCCCAAAAACTACTGTGGTGGTCCCGCTTGTAATTTAATCTTCTAATAATTAATGAGAGACGTCATTATATAAACATATAATTAATNATATATATATTGCTGGCAGATTAGTTCCTTTTGCACCTGAGGTATTAAAATTGTTGTGTTTGACCTGACGGAATGCGACGATAAAGGGTTTCAACAACAAAAGACAAATGGGATCGATGGTGGTACAAGGGAACTCGTAAACTACTTATTACTTAATCCTGGAAAGGGAATTCCATCGGTTCCCAACCGGCTTCATTTTTTCTTTCTTTCTTACTATAACTGTCTCCGTCAGCAAATTGATAAAACAGGCCTAACTTTCTGGTAGAGATTAAAAGTTCAATCGACATTCTTATGACTATCCATTTATGTTTAGTGGTCATAATTGACCAAATTAATTATTTCAATTAATTAATATTTTTATGTAAGACATAAAACATAATGCACTTAATAACTTAAATACTTATGACACTTTTTTAAAAGAAATTTCTGTGATATTAAGTTGATAAGGCAATTTTTTCAATCGCAGGGAGGATAATAGGATATAAGTACATCGTCTTTTCATATAGCGTGGGAAATCTAAAAAATTTCACCCTTATTCATCCAATCATCAGAGTTATATTATGTTGATGTAATTTAAAATTATTACTATTGCTGTTTTTTCTTCTTTTTCCCCCACGATTATCTGGATTAAAAGTTTCCTTTTCAACAAGGAAAATGTAAGACAAGCTTAAACAATTGTTTCAGCCACATTTGAACATTTGTTCTTTATGATCGTTAAATTATTTACAATAAAAAATGGTAAGGCACATATTGTCTATCTTTATCATTATTGCAATTATTTAAGTTAATTCTATTAGGGATAGTGTTATTAAATGAATATCCACTTAATAATATCTATATTTGTGTACCTTATCATTATTGGTTTTTTTTTCAGGTCTTTGGTATGACGATCCTGAAGTTGAAAAAATCCTTCCGTGTAAATTTTATGTAAGATGTCTCAGTTTTGTTTTTCATCTACATTATTATTGTTATTTTAGCTTTTGGAGAAAGTTTATTTTATTAACGAGAGTGTCATATATGGCGGCATAGTTGCGTTAGGTAAATATACTTGCAATTACTTACACGTTTCATGAAGATGATGTGATAGCAATCCTACAAGGCATCGAGTGTCGCACTCGGGTCGCATTCCACTGTTGTAAACACAAGGCATTAAAGAGAGGCAATTAAGACGAGGCGGGGAGAACAAAATGTAAACAGTGGATTTCCCTCCACGTGCAGGAGGTTGCCTTTCCCTCGGTCGTCGGGGGTGAGGACGGCCAGGTTAGGAACTGCACCCCCTCCGAAGGTAGGGCCGACCGCTGCTGAAGAACGGACCGACCGGCAGATGCATATTGCATAGGGACACCGTCGCGCCCTCTCTCTTCGCCCTTGAAAACTCTGATTTCACCCCTGGTGAAAGGGGAGAGTTTTATTGGAATCTGAGGATGTGTTTAGAAAAAATCCAACCCTCTATAGAATTCAAGCTCACCCTTTGTATAAATTGCTCGCCGATTCGGCCAAGTTACAAAATTGCGGTTTACAAGGTTTTATTGTCTTTGGGAATTAACCCTGGGGCTAAATGGCTGAAAATCTCGGTTAACATCAAGAATCCTTTCATAATACAGACTGCGGCTTCTGCAGAATTCCTTCTCACCAATCAGACCAAATTAGGGTGGAAACATTACCAAACAACTACACGTGATAAATAAATATTGATCGGCTAGATACGCCGCTGCTCTACCACCTGAGCTATCGTGACCTCGATTCACTCGGACATCAACTCCCCATTTCAACCCCACCTTATGAGTTTTCCCTCCTTTTGCCATTTTTCAAATGTCGTGTAATCGGTTTTGATTCTCGACGACAATTGAAATGGCGACGGAGAGCTTTAGTGAAGAGTACTTCATTTTAATTCATTAAATTCACTATTTTCGTGGCCCGCTTGACCAATTAATACTTTACAATTAATTAAGGTTGTTTAGTCGAGATGAAAAAAAGCTAATGGNTTGATGTCCAAGTGGATCGAGGTCACGATAGCTCAAGTGGTAGAGCAGCGGCGTATCTAGCCGAAGGTCGTGGGTTCGAATCCCTCTCGTGCCATTACCTTTTTTTCATCTCGACTAAAAAACCTTACTTAATTGTAAAGTATTAATTGGTCAAGCGGACCACGAAAATAGTGACAATATGGTATAAACGTTATAATCGTGATTATGGCGATCCAAAACTAGTAGTCATTATATAAAATTGGTCCTTAAAACATGTTGTGGCTAGCTGACACAGTCTTGAAAAGTCCTTTAGACCGAAAAGGCCTTTAAAGACTTTCTTTGATTTTTTTTTTACCATCGGCTGATATATGCCGGTCGGAATAATAATGTTTTCTCCAATTTCCTTGTACACGGTTTTAGGTTCAGGTAGCTCCCAGCATTTACATGGCCCTTCCTTTAACAATGCCATGGGGTTTCGCTACCTCTCGAGGCAGGGCCTTTTATTGGAGCTTCACATATTATTGAAAAATCTCACATTGCCCACGCTATATAATACGGATTTCATTTCTCGTATTTTAAAAAACATACACGCTTTTAGAGTATTAACATTGGGAAGTATCCATTTATAAAAACCATATTGGTTTTCCCCTTAAATAAAGCTGATTTTAAGTCACTTAGAAATGTTTTTAAGTGAAAACTAGTTACATACCATTTACATTAATCGCTGTGCATAAACGCCCTCTCCAGCTGATAAACTTTTTAATATCATTCCGAATTAAATT